CTTAGCAGAATTCCTAACTCCTTTGCCTTGTCTCTCATACCCCCTCCCCCATACATCTAGAGCCCCAACCAAACCTAAATAAGTCACCACTTTAGGCACTTTATGCTGTTTCTTCTTACTAGATGCATTCCCCTTCTTCACCTTGCTAAGTCGCATAAACCAACGATACCATCAACCTCCTAAGTCATGTAAACTGGTAAGAATTCAGTTGGATACCCACTAGGATGGTTCTAACCAAAAAGACAGATGATGATATTAAGTGGTAAAAATGTGGGGAAATTGGAAATACACTACTGGTGGGAATGTGAAATGGTGCTTGGAAGCAATCTATTTTTTCATGTGTCTGTTGGCCATTTGTATGTCTTCTTTGGAGGAATGTGTTTGCATGTCTTCTGCCCATTTCTTAACTGGATTTTTTTGTTTTTTGGGTGCTGAATTTGGTAAGTTCTTTATAGATCTTGGATACTAGCCCTTTATCTGATAAGACATTTGCAAATATCTTTTCCCTTTCCTTAGGCTGCCTTTTACTTTTATTCATTGTTTCCTTTGCTGTGCAGAAGCTTTTTATCTTGATGAAATCCCAATAGTTCATTTTTTCTTTTGTTTCCCTTGCCTTTGGAGACATGTCTAGCAAGATGTTGCAGTGGCCAAGGTTAAAGAGGTTGTTGCCTGTGTTCTCCTATAGGATTTTGATGGATTCCTGTCTCACATTTAGGTCTTTCATCAATTTTATGTATGGTGTAAGAAAATGGTCCAGTTTCATTCTTCTCCTGTAGTTGTCCAATTTTCCCAACACCATTTGTTGAAGAGACTGTCTTTTCTTCAGTGGACATTCTTTCCTGCTTTGTCAAAGATGAGTTGACCACAGAGTTGAGGGTCCATTTCTGGGTTCTCTATTCTGTTCCATTGATCTATGTGTCTGTTTTTGTGTCGGTACCATACTGTCTTGATGACTACAGCTTTGTAGCAGAGTTTAAAGTCCAGAATTGTGATGCCATCAGCTTTGATTTTCTTTTTCAACTTTACTTTGACTATTCAGGGTCTTTTTTGATTCCATACAAATTTTAGAAGTGTTTGTTCCAACTGTGTGAAAACTGCTGGTGTAGTTTGATATGGATGGCATTGAATGTGTAAATTGCTTTTGGTAGCATCGACATTTTAACAGTATTTGTTCTTCTAATCCATGTATATGGAATGTTTTCCATTTATTTGTGTCTTCCTTGATTTCTTTCATAAGTGTTCTAGAGTTTTCAGAGTACAGATCTTTTACCTCTTTGTTTTGGTTTATTCCTAGATATCTTAATGGTTTTTGTTGCAATTGTAAATGGGATCAATTCCTTGATTTCTCTTTCTGCTGCTTCGTTGTTAGTGTACAGAAACACAACAGACTTTGGTGCGTTGATTTTATATCCTGCAACTTTGCTCAATTCCTTTATCAGTTCTAGCAATATTTGAAAGAGTCTTTGGGTGTTTTTTTTTTTTTTTTTAACCTAGACTATTATGTCATCTACGAAGAGTGAAAGTTTGACTTCTTCTTTGAGAATTTGAATGCCTTTTCTTTCTTTTTGTTGTCTGACTGCTGAGGCTGGGACTTTAAGTACTGTATTGAACAACAGTGGTGAGAGTGTCCATCCCTGTCGTGTTCCTGACCTTAGAGAAAAAGCTCTCAGTTTTTCCCTGTTGAAGATGATATTTCCTATGGGCCTTTCTTAGAATTATTCTATTTAAAAAATTGATAGTTAAAAAAAAATTAACACACTTAGCACAGTGCCTACCACATAGTGCTCAATAAATGTTAGCTAATATTAAAAAAAAAATAAATGGTAGTTAGAATTGCCTGCCATAATTCAGATATAAGGGATGAAGTAGAATTATGGATGAACTAGTTAGAAAACTGAAAGAAAAATAAAATCCTTAAATATACTGGAGTAGAATAGAGAAGTCCTACGCTAATAACAATGAGTAGCCATAGCAAAAGATGTGATCTGGGAAAGACTAACAATAAAGAAGTAGTCTAACTTGAGTTCAGTAAAACTACACCAAAAAGTGACCCTGCACATTCTGAACAAATTTGTCAAAAACGTAAATATGAAGATCTAATAGTCAAAGTATGATTTATTTAAGACTAAGTCAATAAATGGTAATTCACTATAATGAGCACATGTACTTTCTTTCTTGAATAAATAAACCCTAAAAAAATAAATAAAAACTAATAACTTTTTCTAGAAGCATCTTCAACAAACTTCCCTCCTGTCTCAATAGCCACAATTGGGTCTTGGTCCTAGTCATTACAGGGAAAAGAGAATTTCCATGATTGGACTAATCAAGATAGCTCACCTGTGGCTGGAGCTTGGATTCACTTTCCTGAAGCACATGGTTGGGAAGAATATGGTAACACCTAAACCAGTCTGGGGAGCTGTTGGCAAGACTGAAGGTGGTAAATAGGTTGGTTAGGCTAAGACTATCTGCTTCACAGCCACAAAAATTAACCATTAAGTTTAGAGAAATCTGACTTCTGTCTAGTATACAGCATTTCTGGCTATTAGGAAGTTGTTTTGTTTTGTTTTGTTTTTGAGGAGAAAACTTTTTGAACCTGTATAGGTTTGCAATTCATATTGTCCTAGTTCCACACCCCTACATCATGAAAAAGTTTGGCAACTATTTAGTGTAGAATATTATAATTTTTTAAAAAGTAGGCTCCATGCCCAGTGTGGAACCCAACATGGGGCTCCAACTCACAAGATCATGACCTGACATAAGGTTAGGAGTCAGACGCTTAACCGACTAAGCCACCAAGGTTCCCCTCATGTAGAATATTTTAAAAAGTGTGGCCAATCCCCAGTCTGTAGGCTTTGTGAAGGCAAGAATCTCACTTCAGCTCATGGTCCATCCTCATAAGAAATCAGAGATTAGGTAGAAACTTCAATAGAAAAATAGGAGTTATCTGTGAACATTTATTTTTTTTTTTTTAAAGATTTTATTTATTTATTTGACAGACAGAGATCACAAGTAGATGGAGAGGCAGGCAGAGAGAGAGAGAGAGGGAAGCAGGCTCCCTGCTGAGCAGAGAGCCCGATGCGGGACTCGATCCCAGGACCCTGAGATCATGACCTGAGCCGAAGGCAGCAGCTTAACCCACTGAGCCACCCAGGCGCCCATCTGTGAACATTTATACTGGATAACCTACACCAGGGCTATTTTTCATTAATTGAGTCAGAAGTTTTGTCTGGCCCCACAAGTGGAATGTGGGTGTTTTTGTAGAATAATATGTCCTTGTGTTCGCTAAATAATAGAATTACTTATCGAGCAATTATTAATTACGATCTGAAACTTAATTTTTTTAGGGGGAGGGTCATTAAATTGGATGTTTGCCATCTTAGTCCTTCTTTTCTTTCTCTTTAATATTTCAGTTTACTTATTTATTGAGCTCTACAACCTACATGGGCCTCAACCTCGGACCCCAAGATCAAGAGTCCCATACTCCACCGAAGTAAGCCAGCCCAGGTGCCCTTTCCCAGTCTTACTTCTGAAAGGTATTTGCTAAGTAATTTAGAGATTAGAACTAAAAGGCTTATTTGGTGATAATCACCCAAGTCCTGTTTTTTGCTCTTGTAAATCAGCTGAAGGCATCGCTTATCAGTAGGAAGACATCAACTCTGGGGGCACCACCTCCTGCCTGGCAACGTGATTAATTGCAGAAATACACTAAGGCGTTTTAAGCTTTGTTATCCAGAGTTCATTCAGATTTGTTGTTGGAAGCGAGGGCCAAAATCAAAGAAAGAAGAGAGGGAGGAACTGATATTCCTTGGGCTTTACCTATGTTTTCTCCTTAATTTACTCATCATAACAAGTGTACACATCAGTGCCACATGTTATAAATGTAATACCTAAGGACTGGAAAGGTTAAGTGACTTACTAAATTTATACTATTAGTAAGTAGTGGAGATAGCCATTCTGACTATAAAATCCCCAGGGTCCTCACAGTCATAATGCGCTGATTTGGGGCGCCTGGGTGGCTCAGTGGGTTAAGCCGCTGCCTTTGGCTCGGGTCATGATCTCAGAGTCCTGGGATCGAGCCCCGCATCGGGCTCTCTGCTCAGCGGGGAGCCTGCTTCCTCCTCTCTCTGCCTGCCTCTCTGCCTGCTTGTGATCTCTCTGTCAAATA